ACTCAGTTCCCTCCGCCGCCACCACCATAATCCCAGCCACCCCTGCCCCAGACCACCGCACGTTGTGGGGGTGGGGGAGTGAAGAGGGATGCAAAACTGTTGGGTGACGAGCAAGTGCCACCTTAAAGCTTCTTGCAGACACTGTCAATGTGGCTATAAAAAGTGAAGTTGTGAGCAAGCCTCTATCTGATTATGGACACAATCTCACGCGTGAGGGCGGGGGAAAGTGGGTGGGGATATTAGAGGGAAAGGAGAGACCGAGACAGACAGACAGACAAAGGGAGGGAGGAGAGAGGACACAGAGGGAGGAAGAGGAGAGGGGAGCACTCCTGTGGTCCAAGGAGTGGGACCCGTAGCACCACCTAGAATCTTGTTAAAATGTTAAAATAAGAAACTCTGGAGTGGGGCCTAGCAATCAGACTTAACCAACCCTCTGCGTGATTCTGTTGTGCGCGCAGTGAGACCCACTAAACTAGGAAGCTGGAGTGGACAGGTTCGGGTTATGATCAGTCTCAATTGCTGCCAGACAGTGAAACCTTCTCGGGGTAATCTAAACTTCCCTGGCAGCTGCGAGTGAGACTCTCCACCTCTCAGCCCAAGCCAGGAGCCACAGAGGACAAGCAGTCCTTTCTCGGTGGCTTGCGGCTCAAAGAAACACGTCGGCCGGCCGGCCGTGGAGGGACAGTGGGGGAAAGAGTCATGCAAATGAACACCCGAAGCGACACTCACCACACCATTCGCACATCCCCTCCTTGTCTGTCATCGGAAGATCTGTAGCTCTCAGCAGAGGAGGTGAGAAGGCGACAGGACGTCTGGGCTTGCTGGACCATCGTAGGCAAGGATTTAAGAAGCCGCTGTTCCTCTTGGTTAGCAGCAGGCGCAGCAGGGCATGCGGTCTGCAAGGGTGGGCAGAGGTTGCGGCAGCCTTTCCTCCTCCAGCAGCAGCTCCTGGCCTGGTGGACTCCAGCCTTCCCCCTCCCACCCCTTCCCACCACACACCGGCTGCTTAAATGGGCAGCCGACGGTAATGTTCTCGGGGGTTTCTCCTCTGGGACAATCCCATTCTTTGAGATTGCCCAGTTGGAGACCAGAAACAAAACTCCACACATCCTCAATAGAAAACTTTAATCTGATTTTTTTAAGGCAGCTATGGAATGGGGTGTCCGTTTGAGCGCTGTGCAGTATACTGGACCTCTCGGCTGCTCCTCCCTCCCCCAGCAAAAGAACACAGTATATCCAGGCCAGTTGGGTCATCCACTGTAACTTTATTTTAAATCGTGATAGACAGATTGCGTGAAAAACAAGGAATTCCAAAGAATTTCCTGCTCTGGGAACAGAAGTTAAGTCTATATTTAACAACATTTGAAGCTGTCAAGAATGCCTTGTGGTTGGATAACAGAGGCAGAAAAATGTTAAAAACGCAGGCTACTGCTATACCCAAATATGGAAATATTGTTACGTCTGGTGTCTGATTCACCATCTGGAAATACTTACAACCATGAAGTCAAATAGAAAAGACGCCACAACAGAAGCCAGGAACCCTCGTCTCCATTCTTTTTCTCCATCCCCTCCTTCTACCCTGTACTGTTCCTTCTCCACCCTCCACCCTCCACCCCTCCCCTCCCCTCCCAGCCACTTCTCTAAGACGGAAACAATGAACCATTAAGGCAGGAGGAACTGCTCTCTGAGGTCTCGGCTGGCCTAGGGGACAGGGCCGGGGCTTTGCTTTATTTGCATAACACCTGAGAACCCATTGTCTTTAAAAGTCCCCACACCCAGAAAGCCAGAGATCCCAGGCCCCTAGCAAATACTTTGCAATGAATGAACTTAACTCTTCCCTGTAAAGGCTGCCTCCAATGGAGTGTGCGTTCATCCCAATAGCTTTCATTGTGCTGGCTGGAATCAGTCATAGAGAAGGCAGCACTGAACGAAGGCTCTTTTAAGCAATACTACTGAGCTCTGAAGGCAGACAGGCCCTAACTATTGAAAATGAAGAGAAGAGAAGCTATCCCAGAGCATGGGGGGTGGGGGGCAGCTAGTGCCATTTCATATTAAAATTACATAAGAAGACAGATTATGAAACATGAAAGATTATAAATGGCACTAGGAGTCCTTGAAGGGGTCTTGTAAGGGGTTACTAGGTGTGTCTAATAAGATCATACAATCTAACTTTTATTTCAGAATGCTGCCCTCCAAATTGTTCATTTTTCTGAACTGAGAGAGAGCCATTGCACTTCACTTGAAATGGAAGGACACACACACACACACACACACACACACACACACACACACACACACACACACACACACACACACACCCACAGTCTTTTTCCAGCTTTCCAAAGGGCACAACAGTCCCGTTGGAATCTGTTTTGTCCTGGCAGCTTTTGCACCTGATGATTTCAGGACAAATCACTTCCACGGTCGTCTCCTCCGCTTCTGGTTTGGCTGCTCAGTTTCCACC